CCTTCCAAGTAGCCGGAATTACAGGCATGTGCTACCACGCCCAGCTGATTTTTTGATTTATTGTAGAGATGAGGTCTCGCTGCCCAGGCGGGTCTCGAACCCGCGGGCTCAGGCAATCCACTCACCTCAGCCTCCTAAAGGCGCGGGATTACAGGCTGAGCCACCGAGCCCGGCTGTAATCTCAATTTGATAAAAAATTATTTATCTGCCCTTCTATCTGCAAATTCATTCAACGATCTTTTTTTTTTTTGAGTTGGAGTCTCACTCTGCCACCCAGGCTGGAGTGCAGTGGCACACCCCCGGCCACTGTAGCCTCGACCTGCTGGGCTCCGGCGATCCTTCCGCCTCAGCCTTCCAGGTAGCTGGAACTACAGGCATGCGCCACCATGCCTGGGTAATTTTTTGATTTATTGTGGAGACGAGGTCTTGCCATGTCGCTCAGTCTGGTCTCGAACCCCTGGACTCAGACAATCGTCTTGCCTCAGCCTCCCAAAGTACTGGGATGAAAGGAGTGAGCCACTGTGTCCAGCAAAATAACAGTACTTTAAAGAACTTCTTTAGGCCGGGTTCGGTGGCTCAGCCTGTCGTCCCAGCACTTTGGGAGGCCGAGGCGAGTGGACTGCCTGAGCCCGCGGGTTCAAGACCCGCCAGGGCAACTTGGTGAGACCTCGTCTCTACAATAAATCGAAAACTAGCCAGGCATGGTAGCGCACGCCTGTAGTTCCAGCTACTTGGAAGGCTGAGGCTGAAGGATCACCAGAGCCCAGCAGGTCGAGGCTGCAGCAGCCAGGGGCATGCCACTGCACTCCAGTCTGGGCGACAGAGTGAGACTCCAACTCCTAAAAAAAAAAAAAAGAACTTCTCTAATAGGGCTCTCATTCAAAGCTTACTTTTCTAATTCTCTTCAGCCCAAATGGCTTTATTCCATCTGCTGGCAACGGAATGGTGTGCAGAGAGAGAATTCTGGAACCCGTGTCCCTCAGAGACAATGTCCACAGAGCCCGGGCTGAAGGGTCTGCCTCAGCCATGAGTCTCAGGGGGCGAGTGGCATCCACAGCACAGAGGCCATAGCAGGGTGAAGAAATGTGTTTATTTAGTTTTGAGTAGGAGTCTCATTCTGTCGCCCACGCTGGAGGGAAGGGGCATGCTATGCTCACAGTCACTGCAGTCTAGACCTGCTGGGCTCAGGTGATCCTTCCGCCTCAGACTTCCTAGTAGCCTGAACTACAGGCATGTGCCACCACGCCCAGCTAATTTTGTTTGTTTGTTTTTTTATGGTAGAGACTAGGTCTCTCCATGTTTCCCAGGCTGGTCTTGAGCCTGTGGGCTCAGGCAATCCTCTTGCTTCAACCTCCCAAAGTGCTGAGATTACAGGTGTGAGCCACTACGCCTGACTTTTTTTTTTTAGAGACAGAGTCTCTCCCTGTCACCCAGGCTGGAGTGCAGAGGTGCCATCACGGTTTACTGCAGCCCCAATCTCCCGGGATCAAGTGATCCTCCCGCCTCAGCCTCCTGAGTAGCCAAGACTACAGACATGTGCTAGGCTAATTTTTAAAATTTTTTGTGGAGACAGTGTCTCACTATATTTCCCAGGCTGGTCTCAAACTCCTGGGCTCAAACGATCCTCTTGCCTCGACCTCCCAAAGTGCTGGAATTACAGGTATGCGCCACCATGCCCAGCTAATTTGTTTGTTTGTAAAGATGCAGTCTCACCATGCTGCTCAGGCTGTTTTTAACTCCTGGGCTCCAGCAATCCTGTACCTGGGTTTACAGGTGTAAGCCACCGTGCCTGGTCAAACAAATGTTTTAGATTCATCATTCTGGGCCCCCGTCTACCCAATCAGAAGGCGAAAGAGCCCAGGAATGTGCGTTGTTCTAATAAGCACTCCAGGCAATTGCCATGTTTAAATAAGTTTGGAAAACATTGGCCCAGCAACAGTGCTTTGCTTGGGGTTTACGGCGACATCAACAACTCCAAAGCACCATGAACCCGGTTCACTCCGGCAGTGTCTGACCCGACACCATGAACATCGGGTGACGGGATACCGGAATGCCCCGGTGGCTTTTCTTTGTGGCCTTTGCAAACCCATTTATTATTTTAATGCGTTATTCTAGTCTCAGGGCTAATTATTTGTTCCAGGCCTTCTGCCTTGATTGGAGACGAAAGCTCTCTAATGAACATGATGTCTTGGGGTGAGATGCAATGTACGTGGAATTCGAAGATGCTTGTAAAATGCAAATCGCGTTAATTTGCCAAGAGCCGCAATGAAGGCCGGACCTCTTACTTACATAAAGCAGCTCTGGGAAATGATGTGAAGGAATTATTCAGGAATGTGCTAATTGCGCTTTCCTGCTGTGGCCATTAGGGAGCGAATTAAACAGGGGGTGGCTAGACTAAAGCTCTGTAATTCTCCGTAAGGAAATTTCGGCAGGAGCCGAGAAGACACCCGAGATGAACCCCCAGCTTTTCCCCGTCATGTGAGATCAGACACTGCAGAACCATGGACTTGGCTTTGTGCCAGACTCCTGCCTGGTCCGACTGGACTTGATGGCCACGGGACGTTGCTGGGACCCCCTTTGGGCTCCCGGCTGCTCTCACCGAGCCGATTTACTCCTTGCACACCAGGGGGGTTTCTTTCTTCGTCCCCCAGCCCCAGGCTGGAACTCGGGTCTGAACTCAAGGCATTGGGAGTGCCACGAAGGGTCTCCCAGCAGGGACAGAGAAGGGTGGCATGACCCTTGTTTCTGTGGGGTTTTTTTTTTGAGTCGGAGTCTCACTCTGTCGCCCAGACTGGAGTGCAGGGGCCGCTCCCGGCCACCGCAGCCTCGACCCGCCGGGCTCCGGCGATCCTTCCGCCTCAGCCTTCTGAGTGGCCGGAACGACAGGTGCGCGCTCCCACCCCCGGCTGATTTTTGATTGATTGTGGAGATGAGGTCTCTCCAAGTTGCTCAGGCAGGTTTCGAACTCGCGGGCTCAGGCAATCCACTCGCCTCAGCCTCCCAAGGCGCAGGATGACAGGCTGAGCCACCGAGCCCGGCAATTCTTGTTCGTACGAACGGGAAGCCAGTGTCCGCATCCCACTCCACCACAGCCTCCCACACATCATCACCTCACAGAGCATTTACTCCCAGTCTGCCTTCCCAGTGACACTCTGAGAGCCGGCAAGCCAGGGCTGTGTCTGTGTGGTCTGCCTGGTGCATGGCCGGTGTGAAGGTGTGTTTGTTGGCTGAACGTCCGAAGGGTCCTTTGCACGGATATGAAGACCTGATTAAGTCCTGTGGGTTCCTGGGTCCGTGGTGGGGGGAAAGTGAAACTAGCGGTGCTCTCTCTGCCGGGGCCTGCAAGTGTTCCCTGGAGTCACACCCTGAATTTGCCTGGCTCTCCCACTCACTTGGTCTGGGCCACCCCAGGCCGCTTCCTGGGGATTTGAGCTTGCAGTGGACGGAGGGACAGGGCTCTGGGGGGGGAGACCCCAAGGCAACCCCCTCATCGGAGAGGCACCGAGGGGAAGCTCTGGGCAGTGCCTCTCAAGCGTCGAAAGGACATAACATGGAGCCAGTATTCCCAATGAGCAGTCATGTTAACATTGCCTAAATCCCATGTCTTTTTAGCGGTTCACTTTGTCCTCTAGCCAAGGACAGAACCGGTTCGCAGAGGTAGCTGTTGATATTTGTTTTACAATCCCTCTGCCTAACTTGTTTTGGACTAATTAGCTTTTCTATCCCAAGTATTTGCCTCCACCCACGAGACCCAAGTTAACCTGATCAGCCCTTTGTGACCTTGTGACACAGACCGACCTCCACCACCAGGGCGGCAGCCATGTGACTGACCCACCCATCTGCCCGCTGTCCATCACCTGACGTCAGGACCTGTGCTTACCCGTCCCCTCCGTGATGACATGGAGCAGACCACCACCCAACCACCTTAACGACCTGTCCTCATCAAAGGGAAAGTTTTAAAAGATTCAACCTTGCCGGGCTCGGTGGCTCAGCCTGTAATCCCGCGCCTTTGGGAGGCTGAGGTGAGTGGATTGCCTGAGCCCGCGGGTTCGAGACCCGCCTGAGCAACTTGGCGAGACCTCATCTCTACAATAAATCAAAAATGAGCCGGGCGTGGTAGCGCGCGCCTGTAATTCCAGCTACTTGGAAGGCGGAAGGATCGCCGGAGCCCAGCAAGTCGAGGCTGCGGTGGCTGGGAGGACCCCTGCACTCCAGTCTGGGCGACAGAGTGAGACTCCAACTCAAAAAAAAAAAAAAAAGATTCGACCCGAAGCAGCCATTTGCCAAACTGGTGTTTCCATGTGGCTCTTTGAGCTCAGGCCACCATGTTTCCTGGCTTTGCTCCCCCAACCCCCCATCTCCTACCTTGGGGAGGTGAACCTCCTCTCTCTCTCTCTGTCTCAAATTTACTTACTTTTTTTTTTTGAGTCGGAGTCTCACTCTGTCACTCAGGCTGTAGGGCAGTGGCCGCTCCCGGCCACCGCAGCCTCGACCTGCTGGGCTCAGGCGATCTTTCCACTCAGCCTTCCAAGTAGCTGGAACTATAGGCACGCGCCACCACGCCCGACTAATTTTTTGATTTATTGTAGAGATGAGGTCTCACCAAGTTGCCAGGGCAGGTCTCAAACGCGAAGGCTCAGGCAATCCTCTCACCTCAGCCTCTCAAAGTATTGGGATTATAGGTTTGAGCCACCGCGCCCAGTCTCAAATTTACTTTCTAAATAAACTATATTTTCCAACCTAACATCTGTGCAATTCTTTGCATCTTTCACAGGGCATCGGATCACACACACACCCCGTCAGGCCTGACCTAACATCTTGGAGGTCGCGCTGGGATTTTTAACCTATCAGCACCCCTGCTTCCTGCCAGCCACGGCCACTGCTGAGACCCTCGGGGCAGGAGCCAGACCCGCCCGGGAGCCCCCGGCTTTGGCTGAGGGCTGAGCTCAGTGAGTGGAGGAAACACCCAATTGTGACAGGAAAAATGCCAGTCAGCTCATTACCGGGCAGTTGACCACGCAGGGCAGGCCAGACCAAAAGTGACATCGTGACGCGTCTGAGAGCGCTTTGGAAAGGCTGGAACGCCAGGAGGGGCTCTGTGTTGACTTAGGGTGAGGACTTGGCAATGCGACATCCCCGCCCCCTACATGCGCTCAGGTAAGTGGTTCTCAGACTGGGGGGCCCTTAATCGCCCCGTGAGAATCCTCTAAAACTCCCTGCGCCCGGCCTGTACCTCAGACTGCTGAACTCAGGCTCCAGGGTTTGATCCTGGGTGGGCCCCGCGAAGAGCCTTGGCCTTCTGTGCATCTCTGCAGCAGCGGGGTCTGACGCTCACGTCACGTGACATCACACACGGGTCCATCTAACAACAAGCGTTTCTGAGAGTTTCAGCGCTTGTTCATGTCGATTTCACACATCAAGAAATAGATCGAGCCGGGCTCAGTGGCTCAAGCCTGTCATCCCAGCACTTTGGGAGGCCGAGGCGAGAGGATTGCTTGAGTCCAGGGGTTTGAGACCAGCCTGGGCAACTCAGCAATACCTCGTCTCTACAATAAGTCAAAAAATGAGTCAGGTGTGGTGGTACATGCCTGTGGTTCCGGCTACTTGGAAGACTGAGGAGGATCGCTGGAGCCCAGCAGGTCGAGGCTGCGGTAGCTGGGAGCATGCCACTGCACGCTAGCCTGGGCAACAGAGTGAGATTCCAACTCAAAAAAGAAAAGAAAAGAAAAGAAAAAAAATGGAAATAGGCCAGGCTCGGTAGATCAGCCTGTAATCCCAGCACTTTGGGAGGCCGAGGTGAGTGGATTGCCTGAGCCCGCGGGTTCGAGACCCGCCTGGGCAACTTGGCGAGACCTCATCTCTACAATAAATCAAAAAATCAGCCGGGCATGGTAGCGCATGCCTGTAATTCCGGCTACTCGGGAGGCTGAGGCGGAAGGATCGCCGGAGCCCAGCAGGTCGAGGCTGTGGTGGCCGGGAGCGGCCACTGCACTCCAGTCTGGGCGACAGAGTGAGACTCCAACTCAAAAAAAAAAAAAAAAAAAGAGAAATAGAAATAGACCTGGATGGGAAAGCCCACGACGCCGGATATCATCTGACCCAAGGGGCACGAGGGGTCCCCACGCCCTCTCCCTGCCGGCGGGGGTGGCGGGGCTAGGAACGTTACCTCAGGTTGCCGCCGGCCTCGGTCACCTCGTGGGACAACCCAAGCTGCAGGCCGGCCACGAAGGGCTTGAGGTGAGCCAGCTCCAGGGCCTCCCAGAGTTCCTCGTCCGAGTGGTTGTTGAACGGGTCCAGGTTCATGCGCAGGCTCCCAGAGAACAGGACGGGGTCCTGCAAGCAGGGGCGGGCGGCTGCTGGGGCCAGCACGGGAAGCGGACCCTGTCGTCCTCAGGACTGGCCCGAGGTGGACTGGGGTGCAGGAAGCCGGCTCGCGGCTAGCCTCCAAAGGCCTGGCGTGGCTGCCAGCCGGGGCTGAGCATGGGGACGAGCGGATCCTAGGTTGGTTTTCTGTTTACTCTGAGGTTCACTGGCAAATTTCTCTCTCTCAAGAAGGCGAGAGGAAGCTCACGGTCTACGGGTGGAGGGGTCCGGGAGGGCAGGGCAAGGGATGGCAGCGCGGTGGAAGCAGAGCTGGTTATGCTTTTTGTTTGTTTTCGAATCAGGGGTCTCGCTCTGTCACCCAGGTTGGAGTGCAGTGGCACCATCACGGCTCACCGCAGCCTCAACTTCCTGGGCTCAGGGGACCCAGAGTGGCTGGGACTACCGGTGCACGCCACCACGCCTGGCTCATTTTTTGACACTTTGTAGAGACGGGGTCTCGCTAGGTCGCCCAGGCTGATATCGAACTCCTGGGCGCCAGCGGTCCTCCCACCGTGCCTGGCCTGGTTATGCTTTTGAAGAGGCTGGAGAGGAACATGTATCAAACTGAGCACACATCAGACATATAAAGCTCCCCCCACCGGGAGGAGCCCCCAGGGCAATCCTCATCCCAGAGGGTCTGGCGGGGAAGCCAAGGAGGAGGTCTTTCTCGCTGATGCGCTAAGCTAAGCGTTCTGCTTGCTGGCAGAACATGGCAGCAAATTCCCTCCTCTACCCTTTAACCATATCAAATGGGGAGTATCAAGCTTAATGGCTTCAAGCTTCAGCGGCAAAACTGCTAATGCTGATTACAAGAGTCCTGCCGACCACGATGGGCTCCAGAGATGCTAACTAATCACCTGCCCGGGCTGATTTCTCTTGTGTTGCCTGCCACCTACCGGTCAGACGCAGGCAGGCCCAAACACACATCCCGAACAACTCAAGGCTTCCTTTAAACGCAAACCAGGGGTCCAGCTCAGGTATCCCGGGTGGACCGCAGAGGTGACAGCGCTCACCGGACAGACGTCGAGAGGAAGACGCGGAACAGGCTTCCTTTTCCCCCCAAAACTCCCCCCGGCAGTGCCCGTCCACGTTCTGGAGCTCACCTGAGGGATGATGGTCAGTTTCTCCCGAAGGTCATGGAGCCCGATGGAAGCAATGTCCACCCCGTCAATGATGATCTGGCCTCCCGCGGCCTCCAGGATCCTGAAGAGGCAGTTTGTGAGGGACGACTTTCCGGCCCCTGTCCTGCCCACCACGCCGACCTGTGAACACAGATCCCGCGCCCATCAGTGCCACGGGTCATTCTGGGGGACTGGGGAGCCTTTGAGCCTGGTCACACACAGTCACGGGTTTTGAGGGGCATGCCTGGCTCCTTCATCTCAAGGTCTTTTTTTTTTTTTTTTTGAGTGGGAATCTCACTCTGTTGCCCAGGCTGGAGTGCAGTGGCACACTCACGGCCACCGCAGCCTCGACATGATGGGCTCCGGCGATCCTTCCGCCTCAGCCTTCCGAGTAGCTGGAATTACAGGCGCGTGCTACTTCGCCCAGCTAATTTTTTTGATTTATTGTAGAGATGGGGGTCTTGCCTGCCCAGGTGGGTCTCGAACCCGCGGGCTTAGGCAATCCACTCACCTCAGCCTCCCAAAGGCGCGAGATTACAGACTGAGCCACCGAGCCCGGCTATTTTTTGATTTATTGTAGAGGCAAGGTCTCACCAAGTTGCCCGGGCTGGTCTCGAACCCCTGAGCTCAGGCACTCCTCTTGCCTTTGCCTCCCAAAGTGCCAGGACGACAAGCGTGAGCCACTGCACCCGGCAACATCTCTAAAGTCTTAAACTGATTTGGGGTTTGGAAAGAAGAAAGTGCCCCATGTCAGAAACAGACGGCTCTCCCAGCCCGCCCCTCCCAGCAGCTGTTGTCACCTCTATTGTTGGAGATTTAAAAAATCCACGTTAAAAGTGGGAGAAGGGAAGGATCAGACCTGCCCCTGCCGAGAGCCAGTCCCTGACCCAGACGCCAGCATCCTCACCCGATGCCTTGTCCTCGCCCGAGAGGGGCGCCTGACTCGGGGGCAGGAGGAGAACGAGCCCCTTTCTCCTGGGACAGCCCCCACACTGCCGCCCTGGACAGCTCCTGCCCAGGCCTGAGCTTGTTTCCTTCCCCGCATGCCTGGGATGTCCAGGAAACGGTCAACCGGCAGGGGGCAGGGAAGGGCGGGCAGACAGGATCCCGGGTGGGGCGCCTGCCCTCTGGTGGTGGCGCCGTGTCCCACTGCCTCCCAGGGCGGGGACACACCTGATTCTCCCTCCACGTGTGAGGCGGGCTCTGCGTCCAGCCGTGCTCCGGCCCCAGGCGCCCCTCCGGGCCTTCCTCTGCTCCGCCTACCTTCTCCGTGCTCTTGATGTCACAAGTGATCCCCTTCAGTGTCAGATCCAGCTCGGGCCGGTACCGCACTTGGTAGTTATCAAACTGGATCTTTCCTTTGCTGGGCCAATCCGGCGGGGGCCTCCGATCGGTCACCCAGGGCGCCTGGCGAGGAGACAGGACAGAGAAGTGCTTTCTGTGGTGGCAACCCTGCCCACCCGTCCTCACGGGACTCAGAAGTGCAGCCCTGTCCCGGCGACCCGTCGGCCCCTGCATCTCATAGACTGGACTAGACTCTTGCTTCTGGAAGGCTCCCGCCTTAATCAAAGAATCCCCATGCCACCAGGCTGCTCTGCAGATTCCAGAACGTGCCACCACCTAGCTTGGTGTGTCCCAAGGACTGACCTCCCCCAGCCCATCTCCTGCTCTAAGTTTGAAGAAGCAGATCCTCTGAGTTAGAGAAAAGGACTGGAGAAGCCCGGCGCACCCACGAGGAGCAGCGGGAGGCCGCGAGAGGCGCTCCCAGAGGGCCGCGGGATTCCACGCCGCGCCCCTGGGTTTCCCCACCTGCCCCTCACCTCATTCTCCACTGCTATGTACTCGGTGATTCGCTCCACGGCCACGATATTGGTCTCTATTTCCGATGTCATCCTCACCAGCCAGTTCAGCGTTTGTGTGATCTGCAGGAAAAGACCGCAGGTCACCTCGGGCTCAGAAGCCAGCGCCACTCCTCAGACCGCAAGGCCAAGCCCGTGCGGACTCCGCACCCGGCGCTGCGCTGGGCTCAGCGTGAGAGTGAGGACACGGGTGGGCATGACAGACCACGATCCCTGGGGAAGGAGATGAGAGTGGCGCAGAGGATGGTCGGAGAGCAGCCGGCTGAAGGGCACCGTGAGCTGGGGGGTCTGGGGCTGACCGGTGCCTGCCTGGGTGCCGTGTAAGCCTCGTGTGCTCTGCGGAGGGGTTGGGAACAGCATTCTGCAAGCGTGGAAGAGCAGAGGAAAGACGGGGGAAGGGGCCTTCCCTGGAGCTGCAGCCTCTCTGGTCCCTTGACCCTGGCCTTTGAGGTGGGGCGTCCACTTGGATGCTCATCCTCTGTCTTGCCTGTGGACCCCAGGTCCCTCTCTGCCATGACACAGAGACATCTGGCCAGCAGGAAAGGGCTGTCATGACCCGGGCGGTCTAGCAGCCAGGGAGCCCGCAGATGGCTCGATGCAGGCTTTTTTCAGGCACAGACATGGGACCCGGGCATCTGCACAGAGAGCTTCTGTGGAGTGAGTGGTGGTCCGCAAAAAGGAGACCCCGACGGCAGAGGACGGGACCCGGGGCCTGAGGCAGGCACTGTGTCGGCTGAACCACACGTCATCGCGGTCTGAGAGATTTTGTTTTGGTTCAATCCAATAGTTTCCTGACTCTTGGCCTTGTGTGTTCTGAGTTAAACAGCCTAGAAATCGGGGGATGGGGGCGGTGGCCCAGGGAGCCCTGTGATCTGGGGGGTGACGGGCCCTTTCGGGTGCCCTGGCCGGAGCACGCTGGGCCTCGTTCACGTCTAGTGAAGATAGCACTGTGACACAAAGCCCACTGTGGCTACGAAAACCTCTCAAAACTAACTCAAGCAGATACCCCGAAAGACGGGCAAATGCCCCCTTTGTTGAGCTCTCATTGAACAGTTTCTGTAGTGCCAGCCTTTCAGCTAGGTGCCACAAAATGACCAGGTGTGGCACGCGTCCCCAGACACACTGGGACGGTGGCAGGGAGGTGATTACCCAATTTCATCAGACTCTGTTCTTTGTGAGAACTGGCTCCCGTGGCTCTGTGGTGTAAGAAAAACAGACACAGGAGGAATATTTGTTCAGAAGACTTTTCAACGACGGCTGTATTCTGGAGAAGAGACGTACTCGTTCTCTCATTTGACTAGAGCCAAGCAAAGAGGCCAAGAGACGGGGAGCTATCAGACTGAAGCGTCTGAAATGGTCCCCTGAAGCCCGGAGGCCAACACTTGCGTCCATTTTTCTGGAGGGCACCGGGGCCTACTTAGAGGGAGTCAGAAGCGTGTCCATGGGTTGAAGACAGAACCAGGGCTTGAACCTTCGTCTCCCCTGGGTCAAAAAGGATGCGAGCACACAGACGCCGCAGCACACTCCAGGCCGGTTTAAGAATACGGGTATTGCCGGACTCGGTGGCTCAGCCTGTAATCCCGCGCCTGTGGGAGGCTGAGGTGAGTGGATTGCCTGAGCCCGCGGGTTCGAGACCCTCCTGGGCAGCGAGACCTCATCTCTACAATAAATCAAAAAATCAGCCAGGCGAGGTAGCACGCGCCTGTAATTCCGGCTACTCGGAAGGCTGAGGCGGAAGGATCGCCGGAGCCCAGCAGGTCGAGGCTGCGGTGGCCGGGAGCGGCCACTGCACTCCAGTCTGGGCGACAGAGTGAGACTCCAACTCAAAAAAAAAAAAAAAAAAAAGAATATGGGTATTGACGTAGGTAAACTCCCAGCCTTCAGACTCACATTGAGTGCGTTGGACAGAACAAAGCCCACTGTGTCCCCGCTCAAGGTGTCTCTGTAGATGACCATCAGCAAGGCTGAACTGAAGACAACCAGGTTCCCAACCAGCTCCAGGCGAACTGCAAGCCACCTGCAGGGTGACAGAACCAGAGAGTCACCGGTCACTTCTGCACCTTTGCCAGCAGCCTTGGCGTTCGTGGGGCTTTCTTGGCGGGCTGGAGTGGCCGGGCTGCGCTCTCGGGGGGCACCTCCATCAACTTAGGAATACAGGCATTCCTGGAAAGTCTATGAGAGTGCCCCCTTTTTAAAGAAAATAAATTGCATTTTATTTATTTATCTACTTTTTTAAGTCAGACGCTCACGGCTACCACAGCCTCAGCCCGCTGGGCTCAGGTGATCCTTCCACCTCAACCTTCCAAGTAGCTAGAACTACAGGCATGCCTCACCATGCCCCGCTAGTTTTTTTTTTTTTTTTATTGTAGAGATGAGGTCTCGCCAAGTTGCCCAGGCTAGTCTCGAACCCCCAGGCTCAGGCAATCCTCTTGCCTCAGTCTCCCAGAGTGCTCCAATTATAGGCATTGAGCCACCATGTCCAGCCCATAAATTGCATTTTAAAACTACAGGAGGAGTTTGTTGAACTAAGAGAATCATGTAGTGCAATATCTCCCAAACTCACCAAGTCATAGGAATTAGATTCATAAGAATCATAGGGCAGCTGGGTGCGGTGGCTCAAGCCTGTAATTCCAGTACTTTGGGAGGTGCTGAAGTGAACAAATTGCCTGAGCCCAGGGGTTCGAGACCAGCCTGGACAACTTGGCGAGACATTGTCTCTACAATAAAATAAAAAAACTAGCTGGGCGTGGTAGCATGCACCTGCAATTCCAGCTACTTGGAAGGTTGAGGCGGAAGGATCACCTGAGCCCAGCAGGTCAACGCTGGGGTGTCCATGAGCATGTCACTACATTCCAGCCTGGGCGGTAGAGTGAGACTCCCACTCAAAATTTTAAAAAAATCATAGTGCAATTATTTGTTTTGTTTTGTTTTGAGCCAGAGTCTCACTCAGACTAGAGTGCAGTGGCAAATCACAGCTCACTATAGCCTCCATCTCCTGGACTCAGGTGATGGCTATGCCTCAGCCTCCCAAGTAGCTGGCACTACAGGCACACACCACCACACCCAGTCAATTTTTAAATTTTTTGTAGAGACAAGGTCTCGTTATGTTTCTCGGACTGATTTCAAACTTATAGGCTCAAGCAATCCTCCCACCTCGGCCTTCCAAAGTGCTGAGATTACAGGCCACAGTGCCCAGCCTGAGAATCTGCATTTTTTTTTTAATCGGAGTCTCACTCCGTCACCCAGGCTGGAGTGCAGTGGCACGCTCACGGCCACCCCAGCATCAACCTGCTGGGCTCCGGCGATCCTTCTGCCTCAGCCTTCCAAGTTGCCAGAACTACAGGCACATGCTATCATGCCTGGCTAATTTTTGATTTGTAGAGACGAGGTCTCGCCAAGTTGCCCAGACCATTCTTGAAAGAATCTGCATTTTTAGTGAATGTTCTAAGCGACTTCTTTTGATCAAGCATTGCTGTGGTGAATCCAAAAAAAAAAAAGCAAGCACTGTAGTGTGGTTCCACATTCCTGAATTCTGTATTTTTAAAGGGCAGAGAAGCTGGGAAGCTAAGTGTGAGCTGATCACAGGGAGATAGACTGAGGTGTTGTAGAGAGTACAGGTATATAGACATGGTTTGTAAAAATTGACTTTCCCCAATAAAATGTATTTAAATGAGTGTGCAGGCCGGGCACGGTGGCTCACGCCTGTAGTCCCAACACTTTGGGAGGCCGAGGCAGGAGGATTGCTGGAGCCCAGGAGTTGGAAGCTTCAGGGGACTGATTGTGCCACTGAACTCCAGCCTGGGCCATAGAGTGAGACTCTATCTCTAGAAATAAAATAAAAATAAATTTTAAAATGTAACTGAAAGCCGGGCTCGGTGGCTCAGCCTGTCATCGCACGCCTTTGGGAGGCTGAGGTGAGTGGATTGCCTGAGCCCGCGGGTTCGAGACCCGCCTGGGCAGCGAGACCTCATCTTTACAATAAATCAAAAATCAGCCGGGCGTGGTAGCACATGCCTGTAATTCCGGCTACTTGGAAGGCTGAGGCGGAAGGATTGCTGGAGCCCAGCAGGTCGAGGCTGCGGTGGCCAGGAGTGGCCACTGCACTCCAGTCTGGGTGACAGAGTGAGACTCCAACTCAAAAAAAAAAAAATGTAACTGGAAATATTTTAAATAAGTATGTGTGTACCAATAATCCTAGCACGTGCACAAATAAATACGATATGTACTTTATAAAGCGGATCGAATACGATTTCCTCACGTAGCTTTTCCTTCTTGGAAAGTGTCTAAGAAACAAAATATCTTTGCAGTCAAGTTCCTGACCTCTCCACATTCCAAATAGCACTGGGCACCACTGGCCTCAAGACGCTTTGGAGGCCACACAAGATGCTCCTTCCTGAAAGAGACCGTCCTCTTCCCGCCCACACCGCTGCTTGCCAGGTCTACAGGCAACGCTCACCCTGTCGGGGCTTCCCCTCCCAGGACGTGGCCTCCCTTTCAGCCATCGGTGGTTTCACCTACACATCCAGCCTCCTCTCTGCAGCCTCCCTGCTCTTTGCACCCGAAAGAGCATCACATCTAAGGAGGCTCTCACCTCCCTTCTCAGGGAGGCGGACAGAGGATGTCCAGCTCACCCAGCACGTGCACCGTGCCTGGGACCGAACACTCACAAGTGTTGCTTGACTTCCGTCATAAGCCCGTGACACAGGCTGTGTCCGGCCATCGTCAACACCAAGAAACGGGTTTTCCTTAGAGAGGCCACGGCAGTTTGCCCAGCCTGGTAACGGGCGGAGTGGGCGCGGGGACCCGGCCCCGGACTCCTCCTCTCCACTCGCCGGGCGTGACAGCCGTGTGGCCTGAGTGAACACCCCAGTGCGGCCACGCCTGCCCTCCCACGGCTCACGTCGAGCACATGGGGCCCCGGCACCCGCTCGGGCCACACCGGGTGCCTCACCTGTTGGAGATGATCCAGGAGAAGACACACTTCTGGTTGGTGTCAATGCCCGCCTCGTTATGCTTCAGGAAGCGCTGCTGGTGCTCGAAGGCGCGGATGACAGACAGCCCCGACACCGTCTCCCCGAAGTGAGAGTAGATCGGGGACCTGGTGACAGAGTCCAGACGCCTCAGCTGGCGGGAGGTGGCCACGTAAAATATCTGGACACAAAGAGGAGAGAGCCGGTCGGTCCCACGGTCACGCTGTCCGCCTTCCTGGTCATGACATGGCGCCACGGCAGTTTGCCCAGCCTGGTCACGTCCGGGAGAAAAGTGACGAGAGCGGCCCAGAGAATGACACCGGGGAGGTCGGGGCTGGACAGGGGAGGGTGCCGGCGAGGAGGCAGCCGTGGCCCTGGAGGCCAAGTTTCCACCCACTGACCCCCTATCCGCAGCCCATGTTCCCCATGTCGGTTAGAGAACGGGTCCCGGGGCTGTGTCAGGCGGGGGTGGGCAGGCAATGGCCAGAAAAAGATATGGGAGGTTTGGGCGAAAATGAGGAGCCGAGGCGGGTCCCGTGGCTCGGCCTGTCATCCCAGAACTTTGGGAGGCTGAGGCGAGTGGATTGCCTGAGCCTGTGGGTTCGAGACCTGTCCGGGCAACTTGGCGAGACCTCGTCGCTACAATAAATCCAAAATTAGCCGGGCGTGGTAGCACGCGCCTGTAGTCCTGGCTACTTGGAAGGCTGAGGCAGGATCGCCGGGGCCCAGCAGGTCGAGGCTGCGGTGGCCGGGAGCGTGCCACTACCCTCCAGCCTGGGTGACAGAGTGAGACTCCAGCGAAAAACAAAAATGAAAATGAAAAAAATAAAAGATGACCTATCCAGGCTTGGTGGCTCAGCCTGTGATCCCAGCACTTTGGGAGGCCGAGGCGAGTGGATTGCCTGAGCCCGCGGGTTCAAGACCAACCTACGTAACTTGGCAAGACTTCGTCTCTACAGTGAATCAAAAATTAGCCAGGCAGGGTAACACATGCCTGTAGTTACAGCCACTTGGAAGGCTGAGGTGGAAGGATCACCAAGCCCAACAGGTTGATGCTGGGGTGGCAGTGACCGTGCCACTGCACTCTAGCCTGGGCAACAGAGTGAGACTCCAACTCAAAAACAGAAAAATGAAGCCAGGCTCGGTGGCTCAGCCTGTAATCCCGCACCTTTGGGAGGCTGAGGTGAGTGGATTGCCTGAGCCCGTGGGTTCGAGATCCGACTGGGTAGGCGAGACCTCATCTCTACAATAAATCAAAAAATTAGTCGGGCATGGTAGCACGCGCCTGTAATTCCGGCTACTCGGAAGGCTGAGGCGGAAGGATCG